AAACGAGAAACTATGAGTATATCAAGACGCAAAGCTCGTATTGCGAAGCCGAAGTCAATCATAAAAATTCGACAATAGAGCAAGTCTACGATAAACACATAGGTTACATCCACAGAAAGGATACACTACAAACAGAGTATCGATAGAAACCTAACCACACAACCAAACACCAAAACAACAAAATAAAAAACAGAAACACAAGAACAACCTTTAGACCACCGGCAAATGGATATATACATTTACACATGATTATTGTCTACCCAACTCGATATGCTGGAGAGAAGAAATAAAGATACGAAGAACAATCTATATTAAAAAAAAAAATTAACCAATTTTTTTTTTTTTTAAAGAATTAGTAGGTTATAAATTGTGGTCAATGGAGTGGAAAGAGCATTCAGCAAAGTATGCTGGGCTAGTTGGGAGTTCAATATTCAAAATTTAAAAAATAGACTGATTTAACATATATATTACTAACTTATTAAATTAAAACAATAGTTTTTTAAGGGTATTCAATTGCATACCCAGGTCAATATGGGTTGAGCCACCCCGTTGCTTTTGATGGTTATCAACGTTCGGGTCATGTTTGCCAATTGATTAAAATAGTACAAAAATCAATATAAAAAATTAAAAGAAAAATTGGCAATAAATGTATATTTTTAAAAATAATTTTAAATCAGTAGTAAACTTTACTAACTTTATTATTAAAGCTATAAACGAGTCAACTCCAAGTAACAAACAAACCGACCCAAAACTACCGAGAGACTAGATAATTGCCAAACAATGAGATCTTCTTTGTGATAGGACAATTATAGGTATATGATCAGATCACTTATTAAAATATAAATAAAAAATATAATTTTAAAAATAGAACACTTATTATTTTAAAAATAAATATAAATGTATCTATTTTAAAATAATCAATATAATTTTTTGTATGAAAAAATTATATCATTGAAATGAGTCCACCCACTAAATCTCAACAGGTGGGTTTAGTTGACTAGTGCAACTGGAGACAACCCTATTTCTTACCTCCTTCCATTGTAGCAAAATGACAAATCAATTGCTTACTTGATTTGGAATTATAATGTAGATACTTATACATAATTTATTTAAATGATCATAATTAATTATAATGTAAA